TATTGCAGATTGTTGGATTGGATTATTATTGGACGTGATGGAACGATGAAAAATTTTAGGGCACTGGTGCATCAAGTAAAAAGGGAATTGGGACAAATGGAGATCCTTGGAAACATTGATCGTCAATATGGTTACTACGTCAATCATTCACTGTACTTTATAAAAGTAGAACAGAATTCGTTTTTATCTTGTTAAATTATATATATATATATATATATATATATATATTTTTTTTTTTTTTTTTAATACTACATCCAATACTTATTTTTACACTGGAAAAATGTACAATTTTTATATCTACGAAAACTAATGTTTTATGCAAATTTCATAAAATTAATAATAATAATAATAATCATAATAATAATGAAGAAGATTGTTCGAAACAAGTGTGAGCTAGTGTAATATTAATTAAAATAGTTAATAATTAAATAAACAAAGTAGTGATGGAGCTATATAAATAAGAATAGATTTCAACGTAAAGAATATTAAATGTCAATCGTTTTCGAATTAAATTTCAATATTCTTTTATAAAGTTCTCGATCCTTTGTCGTTCTCATAACAAGACAATGTGCTTAAAACAATTCATTCGCATAACAATCCCCTTCGCTGGACAATCTAATTAATAATAATTATCATACATATACATCACACCTGGAGCAGACATTATGTTTAACGCATCATCAATCACGGTTTTAATATAAAATATGAATATGCGGGGAGGTATATTGAAGTTAATTTTAGGTTTGGCTCACATTCGTTACAAGTTCGAACTTTTTGACGTTTATCGACAGCTTTAACTCATCCTAATATATGATCTCATAACCCAATATACTCCATTAGCAGTGATTTATATGTGCCTCAATAATTTTGAAATTATTAGTGTCTTAAGTGATTTTTGTGTCGTCTTAACTCGCCCACGTATTTTCTATCGAATAGAAATTTTAAACGCAGTTGCTGAGAATATATTTGCCGATAGGCAATCGAGAGACGATGGACCATTAAAGAAACTGGTACTTAAGATTGACCCTTAGCATTTCAAATTTCAATTTAGAATTTTCAATAAATTGGGGCTATTTGAATATTTTTTACTACATTTTATCCGACAATTTTATTCTATTATTGTTCATTGCATCATTGCAAGTACTGATAATTTCTATAATAACATTTATTCTTCCTATTGTTGTTATTGTTATTATTTTTTATTTTTTATTTTTCATTAGTCTTTTTTATTTTATTTCGTATAAAATAAGCATATTTGTCGAGGAGATTGGAATTGCTGGAAAAACGAAAAGTATTATTAAATAAGATTTAATGTTTTAAATTACACACAATCGCTCATATATGAGTTAAAAAAAAAATATATATATATATATATATATATTAAAATTTTGAAAGAGAAAGAAAGAAAACTTGACAAAAAGGGACGCGGTCTATGAATATTTATACTAAATGTAAATTCATTTTATTACTTATTTCCTAACTTAGAATATCGACGATTAGCCAACGATTCAATTGTTTGCGTTGCCTTTCTTAAAGCGCAGTTGCCTGAAGCAGAACAGTTACCTTTTATTTTTATTAAAAATACATCAAATTTACCATTTCATTTATATCCTCGCATACTGAAATTTTTATGATTCTTTTCAATCCATAAATATTTCGAGTATTTGCTTTTTTTATTATCACTTTTTAGCGTTTTTTTTCGTAAAGCTTTATTTACGATTCTATGAAAATCCAATTCCATTTTACCAATTTTACGTGACCGATAACAAAAAAAAAAATATATCATTTTCCGCACATACATAATTTATTGTATTCTTAAAAATGTTAGTCCTATTTCCTCTTCTTCTTCCACTTCTTCTTCTTCTTCTTTTATATTTAATGACAGTGTTTAATTATTATTAAAAAGATAAAATAATTATGATTGTAACGTATCAATATTGGCGCAAACGATGTAATCAAGATATTTTGCAACCTTGCCCATTTCTCTCAAAATACCCATTGTTAGTCAAACTTTAAAGCCAAAGACTTTAAAAGTGGCACATTCTTAAAGAACTTCGTAAATACAGAAATTGATCATAAAAAAGAAATGCTTTCTCATTACAATGAAAGAATAAGATTGAAGAAACTACGAAAGAGAAAAAACAAAAAACAATAAATGAAGAAAGTCAAGGAGGAAAAAGCTGCGCCTGCAGCTTCTCCTTTGCCTGAGAGGAGATCGTCGGTCTGCCAAGAGGATCGCAACGATTAGCCAGAGGCTTTCGCGAAGTAGTCGGTTGCTGAGAAGAGGGCATAAAAGCCGAAAGGGGAGCAACGGAATCAGAACTGGCCGTCAATTCCGAAGGTCGGTGCTCCGTGTCCGAGACAAGAGTATCCTTAATCTTCTTAGCAAGGTTACGGCAACGAGTCTTGGCTCATTCCTTTAAGTCTCTCTCTCTCTCTCTCTCTCTCTCTCTCTCTCTCTTTCTATATATATATACATATATATATATATATATATACTTTTCTCATTCAACCCTACTGTAGAGCACTGTATAAGAAGAGAGAGAGAGAGAGAGAGAGAGAGAGAGAGAGAGAGAAAGCGCGCTACCGTTAGACCTTTTACCTTTAGCTCCCGGGCTATTATTTTTAGCTTTTCCTCTCCGAGTTATTGCATTTTTTTTACTTCCCATTATAGCTCTCATATATTACTGCTCAGCATCTAGTCCGACAATTCTATTAAAACGAGATGCGCACACCTCTTACGATCCTTACGAGCTCGGGTACTTGTAAATCTGTATCCTTGCAATATCTGCGGCGTGGGATTCGCATCTGTTATTTTGCACCTCCAAGACTTGCCCGGGATTGGTTTAATGTCCGATCGACTCTTTTGTTGCGAAGAAATCCAACGAGTTTGCTTGGCAATTTCACATTACGAGTTGCTTACCACAGCTTCTCTCCCTTTGCTCCTTTACATTTATCTTTCTTTAATTAGAGGCATTAATATGATCGTATCGTATTAACAATCCAACGCAAACCTTATTTTATTAATCTAATCAGTTACCGAGTTATGGGGTGGTGGCTCGATAATAGCAATTATTCCGTAAATTTAACTCTCATTAAGACATGGACATTTTCATTCTTACAAAATGGGCACTTTAAGCAAACTTTACTCTCGAAAGTACATTGGAAAAACAAATTTTCCGTTATTTTTCAATCAAATTTATCGATCAGTCAACTTAATTGTTAAACATTATCGATGGTAAATATTTATTTTCACAATTATGTAATTTATGCTCTATTAATCTTCCAAATTTATTGATATAAATATATTTTATTTTTCAAATCAGTCGTATTTATTTCAAGTTAGAGCAGATTAATTCCGCTTTTAATGAAAATTTTATTGGAAATTATCGAAAGTATCGGGACGCCGAGATACAGGTAATATTCAACAGTCTCTTATTTTATAGACTTTTTCCTTTTTCAATAGCTCAATATAATTTCTGATAAACATTAATCCATAAAACTTATTAAATTTTTAAGATTTATAAATTATATTGAAACGGTTTATTCAAAATACCATGTCAAGCTCAATTATAAAAGCTCCGTACTTCCGGAATTTTATAGCAAATTTTATTATGATTTTAATATTATTTAGGCATAAAAATTTGACTCCATAATTGCAAATTACAACATAAAAAAATGAGCATTAAAAAATTTATAGAATATTAAATTGCAACAACTCCAAAAAAAAAAAAAAAAAAAAAAAAAAAAAAAAAAAAAAAAAAAATTGTATAATTTACTTTATACGATTAAGTCAAATTAAGTATAATTAAGTAAGATTACACTCGTATCATTACACATATTGTCGATATATTATTAATCGAGAGATAATATATTGCAAAAATTCATGTACTATAACAAGCATTAACTTTACTAATTATATTAGAGGTAAAGAATATTGAAAATTACATTTATTAAAGAATTAATTTTCTCGCATCATGTCACGTATTAATACAGGACTATGCAATGCGCAAATATTAAGGAGACACGACGTTATACAATAGAATTTTTCTCATTGTCTTGGCCAGCTGATTTGTCGTTAAATTACCAATAATGTCGGTTTTATGAATCGCATGGCGATTTGCCATCATTATCTATCAGCCTTTATTCGATTTCTTTTCGCCCGAGTCATTCATACATTAGACTCTAATGACTACGATCTCGTAATCAATCAATCAAGGCAGTCATGAAAAATACCAATAGATTTTCCTTCCTCAATGTCTTTCATTCAATAGAGCAACTCCTATAGACAGACATCATCGACAGAATCCATCGTACAATTGTTAGGCCTACGAGAGCCTATCAAGCCAATCGTGCCAATCGTAATATGACCATCCAGTCCATCCAACTACTTCCATTACAAAAATGTTTCATTATTCAGTGAATGATAGAACCACATTATCCTATAAAAGAACCAAAATAATAAATCCAGTAAATTCTCATTCGTCGAGTCGTAAAAAGTCGCTTGGCATGCAAATGACGCGTGTCGAGCGATCATAAATCACGATATCCCGGTTTATCAGCTCCCTCTCGCGACTACCCCTGTAAAAATCATGGCCAGTCGCTTATTTAAGAGCAGGACAATTTTGTATTGGGACATGATCGGGTATATGGAGGTACGCGATGCCGAGTCGTAGTCGAACGCGCGAGTGACGAAAAGGCCCGGGAGGAGTGGGACGAAGCTAGCTAGACAGAGGGTATAAAGCCGAGGTTGCGCGGGCCCAGGGATCCAGTACGAGTCCAGAAATGCGAGTCGGCGGGATGCTGCGGGAGAGCTGGGGCACCAGCTTCATCGTGATCGCGCCATCAGTTTTTCTGCTGCTCCTCGTGGCCCGTGCCAGTGAGTTCCGACGCAGGCTCCAGCTGATAAACGGCCGCTCGAATGATATTATTTAGGACGTCCGCAAGCATGTCCGTGTGAGCGCGTGAGAGCGTGTGCCAGGGCACGAATATCGGTCGGCTCCCGCTTTTTTGCACAGCGCTTTCCCGTATTGGCTTTGACGCCTCGATTTCTCCCCCAAGCTCCAGCTCGGCTTTATTATCTTTCACATAAGTGGATAGAAGTGCCATGTGGTTCTGTGTATTATCGAACGCTAGTCAGTCACATAAATAATCGACGTATTGATTGAATGGAAGACTATTAATAAGCGCTAATTGTAATATGGAAAAGTTAATGTAACGCTATGATCGTCGTTAGTTAATAATCTTCGTGAATTCATAATTCGGTTGCATTATTTTGTAATTTAAATTCAATCGAAGATGTATGATAAATTTTAATTCCATGACATTTAAAGAGCAATGTGAAGTTAGTCGGGAATGCTGATTCAATGACCATTGGATATAGAGTAGAAAGTAAGGGATATAATGTGATTGATATTTCGTTATGTAACAATAACGAACGAGTCGTTGACTATTTCATTATACAACTCACTGAATACAACGAAATCGAAATCTCACAATCACAGCCTGACAATAGTCAAAAAGTTTATTAGATAGTGTAGTATCGTAATAACGCCCTGTTTCCGTATAAATTTCATAGGAGCAAATGCTCTAAGCGTGACTCGAGTGTCCGAGTGTCCGAGTGTCCATGGGCACTGATGGATTATATCCTCGATAATACATACCTACGATAACGCATGGTTTCATAAAATTTAATCGGCTATTGGCAATTGAAAAATCTTAAAACTTTTATTATAATTACTTACGAGGCTGATGTTACAAAATTTTAATGTAAATGTTGATAACGGTAAATTCACATAGATAACCATAGATAACTGATAAAATGCATCATTATCAAAATAAACATTCAATACTAATAATTTCGACACGACCATTTGCCATAGTAATTATTAAATTGCACTCGAGCAATAAGTCGATGCCGATATAATCGCTGTAATTATTCATTAAAGACCATAATTAGCCAAGAACTAATCGTCCGATTATAAGTACATTAAAAATAATATTTTCTATATTTAGATTCATTACACCTGCAATATTTGCCAGAAATTCCCGGTTATGTGCCAGTATACATTAGATATGGTGACCAGCCGTTAGAAGATATTAATCCAGACTTGGCAGGGGCTTTCCACGAGACATCAGGCATTTTCAATGTAAAATTACATCTAATTAAAAAATCTCTTAATTTAATGATGTTTAATCCACGTTTGAGGGGATCAAAGGGGCTAACGTTGTTGATATGTACAAAACATTAAAAATTTTCACAAAATGTGTTCGCTCATAGTTAGGTCGACAGTCGTGCCCTTGGCGCATTACGTAAAGCAATCATTATCCGATAAGGCTTGATTATTAAAAACAATTAAGAGCGAATTGGGGCCGATTAAGAAAGGAAAGAAGAAATGGAAATGTAATATCATACTATACTAAATCATACTTACTAAACTACTTGATATATTCCAACTAATCCTGATTGGAGCATTTTTAATTATCTCTATGTTCCGTCGCATTCGTCGTATCATATTATTTGCATAATAACTCTTTTTGCCTCATTAATTAACTAGAAATTTCTATGAAAATTAATTAATGTTATTAAATATTTATGGTATCGTTAACTTTGTTAAAGAGGATTCGAGAAATTACATTGGACGGGCCTCCATTGAATGAAATCTCCAATAAGGTTTTGAGTGACAAAAGTGTTATTTCATTACATTCTAAAGAAGAGATCACACCTCACAAAACTAGCAAACTCCGATCGAATCATTTCATTTCATTCGCACCACGTGAAATAAGTAATTTGTTGCAAAAATCTATATCGTTAGAATAGAACTTTGATATAACGAAGGTAAACAATAATCATATTCTACTTATTAATAGCGCAAAACGAATGGAATAATGTTTGCGTTATTTCTTACAGATATTGAAATTTTCCTACTGAAATAATTAATGATACAAACAAAAAATTAAAAAAAAAATAAAAAAAAAAACAAAAAACAAACGATTGTACCTGATAATTACAGATAAAATCTAGAATACAATTGGAATGCAATGTAATCATTATTGAATTATTATAATTCAACAATTTTATTCAACAAACGAGTGAAAAATCGGAGTTCGATAAAATGTCATCATCATTTCGGCTGTTTTATTTACTCCGTTTGGTCGCATCACTTCACGTCATCATTAATCCACATCTTATCAAGGTCATATTTAATAAAACTCCATCTTTACACATCGTCCAAGATTTTTCTGGACTCTGCTGCATCGCAAGTATGCCTAAGTTTATTTCACCAATTGTTGACAAACGAATTGTTAAATATTATTTATGCCAGCCGCAATGGTATAATTAAATATTAACCATTTATGTGCAGGAAAGTACATTGCATCACGAGGAGATGAAAATAGACCTGTAAAGGGGACAAAGCTAATTATTAACACTTTCAATGATCAATTAATTGAAGAATTCATTAATTACGAATGCTTCATCATCGTGCGATCGTATGTGAATTTATAATCTTTTAATTATTTTATTCTTTTAAAAGCAATTATCAAGCAAAAAAATTCACTTAATTTGTCAATTTGTCAAAAATGAATTAAAAAAAAAAAAAAAAAAAAAAAAAAAAAAAAAAAAAAACATGGAATGTTTTATCAAAATTATAGAATAATATAATTTAATTTTTATGACCAAAATTTGCCACAATTAACGGACTGATTAAATGTAATAAATTACATTATGTATTATTACAAATGGGAATAACGATCAATGTACTGTCGATAATGTGTAAGTAGACATAGAGATTATCAGAGTTTCAAACGTGTATGCCTATAATCTCAATAACCCAACTTGGATGTAATATTATAATTTATTCACTAATGGCTATTTATCGCTCAACATATAAAATTAAGGCCAAGACAATTAAACGTTATAATAATCTCATTAATGCTTTACATTATTATTACCGATTATACTCTGCACTCTTTGTTAAGAAAAATTATTTTTGTATAATAAAATAAATGATAATATTTCGATAAAATTTATTGAATTATATTTTGTCTTTTCGCTCGTTATCTCACAAACAAATCAAATAACAATAAATGATGAGTCATTAAAATTATATATCTGATTCTATTTTCTATTTATTATATTATTACTATAAATGCAATTAGTTTATTATCTGAAAATTATTTATTGTTATATTTGCTTTTTATCTGAAGTTTTAAACTTATTTAATAGCATTGATATTCATATTTTACAGCAAATGTAAAAAAATTATAAATATTAACATAAATATCCGATGATTGTCCAGAGCTTTACAAAAGCTCCATTTCTGCAAAACATCTATTACAATAAATAAAATTTTCAAATAATATTCAAATACTTTTTAGATAATTAATATAATACGTGGCATAGTTTTATGAATATATAATTGTATATTAAATCTTCAAAAGCGGCAATTTATTAGACATAGCGCTTGGTTAAATGTAGATATTATTTAATTAATTCAACGGATATACCGTTATATTTATCAATTATATTTATCTTCGATCAGGTTATTCCGCTTTAATCGTTAGATTTTTATTTAAAATCAAATATAAATGCAGCAAGCACCGGAGCACGTATTAACGAGTTAATTACAGGATGAATCAAACAATTATATTTAAGAAATGTAAGAAATGTAAAATTAAGCAACTGAATAAAAATTCAAAATTAAAAAAGTTTAAATTTTGAAAGGAATATTATAAAAGGAAATTGAAATATAGCGTTATTATTATCAATATTTATCATTTATATTGATAAAGAAAATGTCATCAAGAATTCATACTTCAAGACCAATGTGATGATATTGGAATTGGTTTTCACAATTTCACATTGCCGCATTCATTCGACAACTATATCATAAAATTTTAATTTTAATTAAAGGTAAAAATATCCGAGGGCCGATATTATTGAATTATCCATAATAAATACTTGTAAGAGTATGAAAGATTTGTTCGTTACTGTTTCGCCATTTAATTATGAATATCTGGGTTTATGGGTCAATACGGTGTTATACACATACATTGACAGACCCAATTAACTTAATATATATAATTTTAAGATAACTGAAGGAATTGGAAGGAACCAACCAATTCCGGTTTATTTACCATTGTTCCTTTCCTTAAAAAATTTACATTTAAAACGCGTAGAAAAGTAACTGGGTCTTTTTAACTTTAAATTATTAAAAAAATATCTTTTATATTCTTTTATAAATATTTTTTAAGTGACTTTTTTTTATCATAATTGTCATGTTTTTAAAAAATTTTTTTTTTTTTTTTTAACATTTAACATTTCTATTAAAAATAGAGTTTTAAATTTAACGAAGAAAATCATTAACACGATAAAACGTCTGTTACGATAATTGAGGTAGAAAACTCTGTTTACGTAATGTACGTATCAAAGAAAAATTTGTTAAATGTGCAAGTCGTGTGCATGCAATTGCACTAAATAACGAAATAATTTCGATAATTTATTCAATTGCAGTAAAACCTTCTTTTTTTTCTTCTTCTTTTTTATTTTATTTTATTTTTTTTTTCTCCTTTTTTTTTACATAATTTGATGGAACGCTAAATTATTTATTAGAGAAAATATAACGAAGAAATTGAAAAATTCAACGTGTCTACGACCAAACGACTTTCGCTTCTTCGTATTCTATTTTATTCAATTTTTCAGCTGACGTGCTTGTAAAACTCGTTTCTTCATCCACAGTTATATCCTTTAAATTTTCTTCTGTATTTTTCTCAACTTATCACCTTTCCCACTCATTCTCTTCCACCGACGTTCATTCGATACGGATATCTAAAAGGTATTAAGCTGCGCGCATTTGCACTTATACTTGTCTGCCAGTTAAACATACTGAATTTAAAAGCTTATACTAGTTTTACTATTATTATTGAAGAATATATAAGGGTACGAAGGCATTTGCTATAGACGAAACAGGCATTATAAGGAGAACCGTTATGAAGGTCGAGCCTTCTCTCAATATCGAAGTGTTTCAACTGCATTTTATAGCGAATGACCTGAAACATCGATGGCATTTAATATTTGAGTAAGTGTAATGCGAGTGCGCACTGCGAAAAGTCCAGGCATTCTATAAATAATTTACTATTGCTTAATTATGTTGGTAACTTGGTTAGAAAATTAATATATCGCGAGTATTGAAGGAAAATTTTTTAATAACTTTCTTTTAAAATGATTTAGATCATTGATAATTTTCTTGTATTTTTTATAAAATTCATATACATATTTTTTTTAATATTTTCGATATATATATATATATATATATATATATATATATGTATATCGTGAAATTATCTTACCACTTATCAATAGTAATTTTTTAATTAAAAATCAATATACTCTCTACAAAGTTTACCAACTGATTGTATCCATTAAGAAATAAAATAATTCTTTTTTTTTTTTCATTTCCATATGGATAATACACAATCGTGTATTATCCAATAATATTCAATAAATTCTTAAATATTCCTGTGTATTATGCCTACAATGCAATCATAATAAACGAATACCCATCATATGCATTAATGTATTATGTATTACTCATAAAATTATGCAACTTATGTCATCATTTACTAATGTCAGGAAAAAAAAAACTCTTTCATCTATTATTAAGAGTCCAATATTTGTATCGCAGTTAGCCACTTACAACAATAAGCAACATACGCGATTAGTAAATATGCATTTTTCTCTCTTCCTTACGGCGATCATTCAAATATTTAGCAAATACCACTCTTCGCTTTATTTGACGATTTGGAATAATTTTAAAAAACTATTATTATACGTGCGTGTATTTGTTGTTCGGACATCGGCGTCAATCACGTATATCGAGGTGTCCGGTAAAATGGAAATTCTACTCGGTTGCAGATGAAGCTTACTAACTGTAAACCTGTATTACAGATGTTTGAAATAGATACCTTTTACCGATAAATATACGTGACTTTTGCTTCCGCGTAACAGGAATTAATATCGAAGGAGCCCAAAAAAGTCCCGATAAGAAAAGAAGCAAAAAAAAAAAAATACATCAAACAATCTTAGCAACGTAACCGATCTTTATCGAGCTACAAAGTGGGAACGAAATATGCTTTTTATTTATATTGGTTAATGAAGTGAGGCGCCCTCGCTCCTGAAATATCGACAGGCTCATTCATTTTCATGATAAGCGAGTGGCGGCGACGACCGAAAACATCGGCAAGATTAGCCCGAGTCAGAATGCGAAGGCAATCGGATCTGAAGGGAGATTGAGAGAGATTGAGAGAGAGATTGAGAGAGAGATTGAGAGAGAGAGAGAGAGAGAGAGAGAGAGAAGAGAGAACCGGTTTTGACGGTGGCCGGCGATCGATGTGCCCGGATGAAAAGAACTGTAGACTTGCCATTTCCGAAATTGCTCATCGGACTGTTACGTTCTCTTCGGGGGATTACTTTTCTTACGACGGCCCTACGTGCAAAAAATAGGCCAACACACTCAACGACGACTCTAGATAGGTTAAACGGCCTTTCTCAGAAAGTCCATTAGGTTGCGCCTAATTAAAAAAAGATGAAACAGAATTGCGAGCAGTCGCTTGCCCTTCCAAGCATAACTAGAGTTAATTTCGAAAAATTTATCAGCCTGACTGCCGATTGGATCTTACGCTTCCGACTTTAAGTGCTCCATTTCCAATTATTCGCATTCGGCACTATATAGTGATGTTAGATTAAATTAGGTCAAGTTTATTGTAGTGATTATGTATCTATTAAAAAGTAATTATAGATAGAAAATAATGTATGATCTGTATGAGCTGATAATCACGACTAAGTGC